AGTGTGTGTGTGTGCGCGTGTGCGAGGAAGAATGTTTGAGAGAGAAGAGTGTGTGATAAGGATTATGGATGCAAGAGATAAGGAGTGTGTGTGTGTGCGCGTGTGCGAGGAAGAATGTTTGAGAGAGAAGGGTGTGTGATAAGGATTATGGATGCAAGAGTTAAGGAGTGTGTGTGTGTTTGCGAGTGAGAGAGAGCAGCGAGTGTGGTCGAGAGAGAGAGAGGGACTCCTGAACCTCTGTGTCTGCTTCAGGAACTAACTGACACACACCTCAAGAGCTGCCTTTTCGACAGCATCCTCATCGATCACACCCTCCTTCAGACAAGTGATGCGTGATTTCCTGAACTTTAATCCTGTCGAGCTGCTCTGAAGGAGACATGTCTGGTTCTTCTTCAGTCACTTCATTCAACTTGCTATTATCTTTAATGACCCATAAAAAGCATCCACCTCTTCCTCATGTTTCGGTACGGCCTAATCTAACCTACAGATTTCCCCACTGTACTGTAGATCAGGATGAATGATCTCCTCATCAGAGCTTTTGTTAGGATCTGACATTTTTCTCAACTGCTCCATTTTACATCACTATTCTCTGCCCGCTCCCTTTTCACCCTTCTCTGTAACATTCAGGGTCAAGTTTCCTCATGTCCATCTCCTGCGTTTTAAACTCCTGTTCTTTGCAAATCTCCTTCCTTTTCCATTCCGAGCTGTTTCATCTCTTCATCTTGTTGACGCGGCTGTGACTCTGATTGAATCCTTGCTAACTCGAGTGCCTCCAAACTGGGTGCACCCAGTCCCTCCTGTCTTTTCAGTTGTCCCAGAGGCTTTACCCGGTGTTTCGGTTGGCTCTGGCTGGTTACCAACCTCCAATTTATTCCCCAAAGCCGGCAATCTGGGATTTTGTTGCATTCTGTGAATGCAGCACGGATATGCTTCGAACCGCAGGATGGTCTTAACTGTTGTTGATGCGTCTTATCTCAGTGGGAGCAACCTGTCATCTGTCATTTTATCCTTCGCCACTCGAACTACCTCCATATCCGGTTTTGCGTTATCCCTGTGCAAACGATCATGGCGCCAAGCTCCCAAGTCCTGTCATGATTTTGTTCGGACTTTTTTGTCGATTTCCATGCCCCAGAGACTCGTGGCACACTTACTTTAACCGTAGCCCAGAGGAAAGTAAGGATTTGGAATCTACCATTATACAATTTTAAACCAGGCCCCTGCAAAACCCCCAAGTACACACACGCACAGGCATATCCACGCGCGCGCACACACACAGCCTTATACGCACACACGCACCCATACGCACAAGTACACATACACATGCCAGCCTCTGGCGACTGTCCATGTGGAGTTTGCACACTCTCCCGTGTCTGCATGGGTTTCCTCCGGGTGCTCGGTTAGGTGGATTGGCTGTGCTAAATTCCCATAATGTCTAGGGATGTGTGGGTTAGGTGATTTAGCAAAGGGATGTGCAGGGTTACAGGGATAGAGTGGGGGCTGGTGGTGGGTCTGGGTGAGGTGCTCTTCAGAGGGTTGGTGTGAACCCAATGGGCTGAATGGCCTGCTTCCACACTGTTGGGATTCTATGATTTTACGAGGCTATTTAGCCCTTACGTGCAACAGCTCTGTTATCTAGTGCCAATCTTTTCCCCCACAGCCCTGCACCCCATTTCTACACAAATAATCATGCAATGTCCCATTGAATACCTCAATTGGACCTGCCTCTGTCATGTTTCCATCAGGCATTCCGTCTCCTGCAGATGATAGAGGAGGAGGCCATTCGACCCACTGTTCTGTACTGGCTCCCAAGCGCGCTAAACGGTTAGTACCATTCTCCGGACCTATCTCCACAGCCCTCTAAATTCATCTCTCTCAAATATATACGCAGCTCTCTTTGAAATCCCACTTGGCTTCCACCTCCACCACTCTCCCAGGCAGCGCATTCCAAATCCTAACAACTCTTGCGAGTAAAAACATTTCTCCTCCTGTCACTCCTGGCTCTGTTGGGATTTCCTTTGGGATTGTACCCCCTATTTTATGTTATCTTCCAGTGTTCTTCCTACCAAAGTGCATCACCTTGCACTTCTCTGCGTTGCACCTCGCCTGCCAGCTAATTGCCCACTCTACCTTGTCAACGTTCTTTTTGAACTCTGCACTGTCCTCCTCACACATTACAAATGCTTCCAACTTTCATGACGCCTGCAGCTGTTGAAATTGCCTCCTGCTTGCCGAGACCAAATCATTAATAAATACCAGGAAAAGTAAAAGGGTCCTGATACCGACCCCAGGGGAACTCCACTACATCCCTTTCTCCAGCCGCAAAATATCCATTGGCCATTACTCCCTGTTTCCTCTTGCTCAGCCCATTTTGTATTCACGTTGCTACTGTCCCTTTTATACCATGTCTCATGACTTTCTTCACAAATCTTTTGCATGGCACTGTATCAAAAGTCCATAAATACTACGTTGACAGTGCCCTCATCGACCCGTCCGCTTACCTCTCCAAAATACTCCAGTAAGTTTGTTAAACAGGATTTCCACTTTAGGGAAATCCCTGCTGACACTTCCTAATCAATCAACCCTTTTCTAGGCAAATTACTAATTCTATCCTGAACAGTTGTTTCTGCAAATTTCCCAAGCGTCGAAGTTAAACTGACTTGTCTATAATTGCTGGGATTATCCTAATGACTTTTATAGAGTCGTAGAGGTACGCAGCATGGAAACAGGCCCAGTCCGTCCATGGCGACCAGGTTTCCAAAACTAAATACTCCCATTTGTCTGCATTTGGCCCCTATTCATGTCCATATCCAGATGCCTTTTAAATGTTGTAATCGTACCAGCCTCCACCACTTCCTCTGGCAGCTCGTTCCATACACGCACTACCCTCTGCATGAAAAAGTTGACCCTAAGGTCCCTTTTAACTCTTTCCCCTCACACCTTGAACCTATTCCCTCCAGTTTTGGACTCACCTACTATAGGGAAAAGACCTTAGCTATTCCCCTTATCTATGCCCCTTGTGATTTTATAAACCTCTATAAGGTTACCCCTCAGCCTCTGAAGTTCCAGTGGGGGAAAAAGTCCTAGCATATCGAGCCTCTCCTTTTAACTCAAACCTTCCAGGCTTGGTTAACATCCTTGTAAATCCTTTTTGCGCCCTTTCCAGTTGAATAATATCCTTCCTATAGCACAGCGACCAGAAATGTACTACAACCGTGGCCTTACTAATGTCTTGTGTAGCTGTGGGCAAGTGTGCCAAATACTTTCTTCTCCACTCTGTCTTCCTGTGACGCCACTTTCAAGGAGCTATTCTCCGGTCTTCTGCCCCCCACCCCGAATCCAAAGAGGACTGAAAAATTATGGTCAGTCCTTTCACAACCCCTTTCACTTCATTCAGAATTCTTGGATACATCTCATTGTGCCCCATTGCCTCGTTAACGTTAAGTGCCAACGGTCTACCCAAGACTTCTTCCTTTATAATTTTAATCCCATCAAGCGACAGAGTTGCCTCCTCGATCACCATGGCTTGGACAACATCCTCCTCTTTTGTAAAGACAGGCACAATGTATTCATTTAATACCTCTGCCATGCCCCTTGCCACCGTCATTAAATCCCATTTTTGGAAGACTTGGGGTTTCGCTTTATGGTAACTGCCAGTCTTTTTTTCATAATCCCTCTTTGCTTCTCTTAATTGCTTTTCACCTCCTACCATTAACTTCTGCTATTCATGTATTTTCTGCCTGACACCTGTCACAAGGACACCCTTTCCTTTCTAATGTTGACTTCTACCTGCTTGGTCATCCAGGGAACTCTGGATTTGTTGGCCCTACCTGTTGCATTAGAGGGGAACCACCTCTGAGCTATTGAAGTCCCCATTGTAATGACTCCCTAATATTGAATAGCTTCTCTTTTATCTTGAGATGATGGAGGGTGTTCTCAATGTGAAGGCAGGTCTTCATCAGCTTAAAGGCCGTGCGGTGGTCAATCTCATTGATACTGTCATGGATAGTATCAATACTTATTAGTGAGGATGAGGTCAGTTATGTGTTTCTCTCTTGTCAGTTCCCTGACCATCTGCCACGGACCCAGCCTAGCAGCTATGTCCTTTAAGACCTGATCAGCTCAACCAGTTGGTGCTGGTGCCGAGTCAGTCTTGGAGGAGGAATTTGATATCCCCTCATCTGGAGTACATTCTGAGCCCTTGCCATCCTCCGTGCTTCCTCCAAGTGTTGCTCAACATGAAGGAGTACTGATTCATCAGCTGAAGGAGGATGGTATGTGGTAATCAGCAGGAGGCTTTCTTGGTGCGTGTGTGTGTCTGTGTGTGTGTGTCATTGTACGTGTGTGTCTCTCTCTCTCTGTGTGTGTGTGTGTGTGTGTGTGTGTGTCTGTCTCTCTCTCTCTCTGTATGTGAGTGCCTGTGTGTGTGTGTGTGTTTTACAAGTCTGATTGTGACTTGGTGGGAAAGTCTGTGTGTGTCGCTGTCGCTGTGACTGTCTTTTCTGAGTTGGTGCATGCCCGTACGTGTAGCTCTGTGCCGCCTCAAACTATCGTCTCCTCAGGTTCCCAGCTGAACTCTGACCTGCGGCACTTCCTCAAGCAAGTGTTCACTAAAGGCTCAGCCGACTTTGATCTCCAGGAGCACGTTCGCCACAACCTGTACATCCGGACACTGCCATGTAAGTACAGTCAGAGTGTCTGTGGGGTGACCCAGAGAGTGGCACAGCACCAGGGGAGGGGGTGCGCAGAATATTGGGATAGGGCATTATGTGCTGGCTGGGACTGGTCAGTATACTGACCTGCATTGCAACCGAGGCTGGAGGAGCGGACTCATCCCACGGTAGCATGTGTCACGAGATAAAATAAAGATACTTTCCCCAATTGCCATGACTTATCAATGTAAGATAAGGGGCAGCGAGATGGCTCAGTGGTCAGCACTTCTGCCTCTCAGCCGCAGGGACCTAGGTTCAATTCCAGCCTCGGGTGACTGTCTGTGTGCATATTCTCCCCATATCTGTGTGGGTTCCCACTGGGCGCTCCAGATTGGCCATGCTAAATTTCCCATAGTGTCCAAGGATATATAGGCTAGTTGGATTAGCCATGCTAAATTGTCTGTAGTGTCCAAGGATCTGCAGCATAGGTGTTCAATGGGTTATTCTTGAAGGCAAAGTTGATAAAATGTAGGATGTTCCAACATCTGTTGCTGAGATGGGTTGGCATTTGTGATCCTGTCACCAAAAGTGTACAGTGTCTCTAAAGCCTTGCAGACACACCTTACTCGGATCATACAATCTTGAAGTGTTTTGTCAATCGCGCTTTCAAAAGAAAAAAAAAATTAGTTTCATCCTGAACTCGACAAAAGGGTTGCTTTCATTTGCAGCAGAAATCTGTGAGCAGTTTGTTCTTGGCTGGCGTTCCTCCGAAGCAGCTTGTTCTCAGCTGGCTCTTCTCCAAATCAATCTGATGAAGTGATGTAATACATAAAGCATTCATGTCACAAAACTTTGGCAGGAAGGAAATGATGAGGGACAGAATCTGTTTGAGTGCGAGATTAAACCGGGGTTAAATCATTCTGTTGTCTTTTTTGATAATGGGGGAGGGTGAGGGTGATAATCCACATTTGATGGAGTGAAGATTCTTCTATATTTCAAAGGAAGTGGGCATCGCTGGCTTTCCAGCATTTATTGCCCATCCCTAGTTACCCTTCAGAAACTAGTGGTGAGCTGCCTTCTTGAGCTGTTGTGGTACAGGGACTCCCCATGGTGCTGTTACAGAGGTTATTTCCAGGATTTTGACCCAGAAGGAACGGCGATACATTACTGAGTCAGGATCCTAAGTTGCGCAGAGGGGAAACTGCAGTTAGCGGTGTTCCCCATGTATCTTCTTGTCCTTGCCCTTGCAGATGGGTGGAGGTCACAGCTTGGGAAGGGGGCTGTTGGAGGACCCTTCGCGAGTCACTGTAGATGTAGATAGGACGCATTGTTGCTATTGTGTGTCAGTGGTTAAAGGGAGCGAATGTTAAATGTGGACCTTAGCGTGGGGCTGCCTTTCTCAGAGATGGTGTTAAGCTTCTTGAGAATTTGACCTGCATTCATCCAGGCAAGTGGGGACATATTCCATCCCACTGCTGACTTAGAATCATACAGGCCTACAGCACCGAAGAAGACCATCCTGCTAATCAAGTCCCTGCCAGTCAAAACAACCATCTAACTATTCCAACCCCGTCTCCCAGCACTTGGCCCATAGCCTTGGATGCCTTAGCATTGCAAGTGCACATCTAAGTAGGCTTTCTGCCTATACCTCACCGAGACAAAGTGTGTTTCAGATTCCCACCACTTTCTGGGCCAAATATATTTCCCTTACTTCCCTTCTAACCCTCCTGCCCCTTCTCTTAAATTGGCCATTGATCCTCCTCATCGAGGGGAAAAGTTTCTATCTTATCTACGCCCCTCAACTTTGTACATCTCTATCACACCCTCGTTCAATCTCCTCTGTTCTAAGGAAAACGACCCAGTCTGTCCAATCTGTCTTTTATAACTGAAACTCACCAGTAAATCTCCTTTTCACCCTCTCCAGTGCAAATCCACCCCCTCCTATAATGTAGATTCCAGGACTGCGCGCACAGTACTCTAGCTGTGGTTAACCAGCGTTTTATATAGTTCCAGCATTACCTCCCTGCTTTTAAACTCCATGCCTCTATGAATAAAGATGAGCATCCCGTTTCTCTTCTTTACCACTCTATCTATCTGTCCCACTGTTTCAAGGGACTAATGCACACGCACGTCAATGCCCCTTTGACTGTTGGTACTTCCCAGGGTCATGCCGTTTGTTGTGTGTTCCCCCTTGCCCTATTTGTCCTGTGCAACCTCCCGTTTATCCAGATCAAATTCCATTTCCCGCCACCCAGCCCGTTCTGTTGTCAATATAATAAAAAGGAAAGGACTGTGGATGCTGGAAATCCGAAACTAAAGCGGAAATTGCTGGAGACACTCAGTAGGTCAGGCAGCATCTGTGCAGAGAAAGCAGAGGCAACCTTTCGGGCCTGGTGATCCTTCTTCAGAACTCGCTCAACGACATCCTCTTGTATTCCAAGGCTGTTCTCCTCACTATTTACCACCTCACCGATTTTTTTTTTTTTTTTTTTTTCTTTTTTTTTTGGGTTGCATCCCCGAACTTACTGATCAACCTTCCCACAGTTCAAGTCTGAAATATTTAGATTAACAAGGGCCCCGACACTGGTCCCTGCACAGGTTTCCAGTGACAAACACGCCCTTCGACTCTCCGATTCCTGCCGCTTGGCCAAATCTCGATCCAATTAGCTAAATTTCCACGGATCCCATGGTCTTCCAGCAGTCTTCCAAAAGTCTTATTGAAGTCCAACTAGACTACATCAAACATGTTGGCCTTACAGACTTACCTGGTCACCGCTTCGAAAAGTTCAGTCAAATTAGTCAGACGTGACCCCTTAACAAAACCTTGCTGATTTGCGCCTTGCAGTTGGTGAACAGTCAATGGGGGGCACGAGTTGCTCATCAGAGTCATACAGCACAGAAACAGACCCTTCTTCAGTCCAAGATTATGCCGCGCATAATCCCAAACTAAACCAGTCCTGCCTGAGCCTTTTCCCCTTTATTCATTCACGGGATGAGGACGTCGCTGGCCGGGCCAGCATTTATTGCCCGTCCCTAATTGCCCAGAGGGCAGTTCAGAGTCAGCCACATTGTTTGTGGGTCTGGAGTCAGGCCAGACCAGGTAAGGATGGCAGTTTCCTTTCCTAAAGGACATTAGTGAACCAGATGGGTTTTTTCCAACAATCATTAGATGGTCATCATTAGACTCTTAATTCCAGATTTTTAAAAAAAGGTTTTGGCCCATTTCCTCCAAACGTTCCTTATTCATTTACATATCTAAATGTCTTCCAAACCTTGTAACTGACCACATATCCGCCACTCCATCTGGAAATTCATTTTACACACAAACCTCTCTGTGTAAACAAAAAAAAGATTGACCCCCCACCCTTGCCTTTTTTAAATCTTTCTCCTCTCACCTTCAAAATATGCCCCCAGTCATACAGTCGAACCAGTCCATGCTGAACAAAATCCCAAACTAAACTGCCTGCTCCTGGCCCATTCCCCTCCAAACCTTTCTCATTCATGTACTTATCCAAATGTCTTTTAAATGTTGTAGATGTACCCACATCCACCACTTCCTCAGGACATTCATTTCACATGCGAACCAGCCTCTGTGTAAAAAAAATTGTCTCTCATGTCTTCTTTAAATCTTTCTTCTCTTACCTTAAAAATATGCCCCCTACTCTTGAAATCCCCCATCCTAGAGAAAAGACACCTGCTATTCACTTTATCTATACCCCTCATGATTTTGTAAATCTCTAAAAGGCCACTCCTCAACCTCCAGTGAAAAAAGTCTATCCAGCCTCTCCCTGTATCTCAAATCCTCAATTCCTGGCAACATCCTGGTTCTGAACCCTCTCCAGTTTAATAATATTCTTTCTATAACAGGGTGACCAGAACTAGAGACAGTACTGCAGGAGAGGCGTCACCAATGCCCTGTACAACCTCAAAATGACGTCCCCAACTCCTACACTCAAAGGTCTGACTAATGAAGGCAAACGTGCTAAACGCCTTCTTCCCCGCCCTGTCTGCCTGTGATGCAAACTAGTGATGTTCTACAACACTACTTTTAATTGTATAAGTCTTGCCCCTTGTTTATTTTACCAAAATGCTATACCTCACATTTACCCAATAATCCACCACTCCCCAGCCCATTGGTCCAAATCGCTTTGCAATCACAGAATCCCTACAGTGTGGAAACAGACCATTCAGCCCAACAAGTCCATACCAACTCTCTGAAGAGCATCCCACCCAGGCTCACCCCCTATCCCTGTATTTCCCATCGCTAATCCACCCTAACCTGCACATCCCTGGGCACTATAGCACAGCCAATCCACCCTAACCTGCACATCTTTGGACTGTGGGAGGAAACCCACGCAGACATGGAGAGGACGTGCAAACTCCACACAGACAGCCGCCCGAGGGTGGAATCGAACCTGTGTCCCTGGCGCTGTGAGGCAGCAATGCTAACCACTGAGCCACCTTGGATCTTTAGATAAGGTGCTTCACTGTCCCCCATACCATCAATGTTGGTGTCTTCCACACACTTACTTGCTACAGGATACCTAGCCTCTGACCTGCATCTGTATGTCTAGTTTGATTTCTCGTCAATGGTAACCCCGGGATGTTGATAGTAGATGAATTCAGTGAATGTAACGCCACTGAATGTCAAGGGGCTCTGGTTAGGTTCTCTCTTGTTGGAGATGGTCACTCCCCAACATTTGTGTGACACAGCTTGGGTCACTCGCCACATTTTAGCCCGAACCTAGATGTTGTCCAGGTCTTGCTGCATTTGGGATGGAGGGAAGGCTGGATGATTGGGCCTGGGACTCGGACCTGAGGAACTCCTACAGAGATGCCCTGGAGCTGAAATAACTGATCCCTAATGACAACACCTAACTTCCTTTGTTCCAGCTCTCCAGTAGCGGAGAGTTTTGGAATCGTAGAATCTCTACACTGCAGAAGGAAGCGGAAGAGGTCAGAGCGGGAGCAGGCCGTTCGGCCCGCCCAGTGTGCTCCGACCGCCGTGGCGGATACTGGCTTTCAGACCCACTTTCCCGGCCCCTCCCCAGACCTGTCGATTCCCCGAGAGACCAGAGATCACTCTGAAGCCCAGCCCTGGGTGCAGTCGATCTCTGGGGCAGAGAATTCCAATCGCGAGTGAAGGAACGTCTCGATCCGAAGTGAACAGTCCGGGGCCAGGGCGCGCCAAGCTTCCAGACACCCCAGGCAGGGCGAGACAGCCTCTTAACATTCCCCTGTCCAAACCCCTTCAGCATCTGAACCTCTCGATGAGGCCCCCCCTCCCACTCGTTCTCCTAAGGGCATATTAAATGGTGTTGTCTCCCTCCTCCCCTCCTGTAAGGGCCTGACGTGTCACGGTGTTTATTCTGCCAGGTACAACGCGGGCCCCTCGCGAGGGAGAACGTCCCGGCGTCGACTACCACTTCATCAGCCTCTCGGAGTTTCACGCGCTGGAGAGGGCCGGGGGCCTTTTGGAAACGGGGAAGTTTGACGGTAATCCGGTCCATGTGCACTTCGCACCGTCATGGTCCCAGGGGATAAGGCTCCAAAGAGGGGTGCAGAGGAGCTGGAACTAATCTATCCCATTTACACACCGCATTTTTTCTCTCTCTCTATCTCTCCATCTCTCTATCTCTCCCTGTCCCCATCTCTCCCTGTCGATCTCTCCCTTGATCTCTCCCTACCCATTTCATATACGACACTGATATCCCGTCCAGCAACATTTCCAATTCCCATCCTCAGCTTCAAATCTTCTGGTCCAACTCCCTATCTCTGTCACCTCCACCAGCCCCCTACACCCCCTCCCTATCCCTGTCACCCCCTACACCCCCTCCCTATCTCTGTCACCTGTTTCAACACCTGAAACTGCCTCCAGACTCTGCCCTCACACCCACTAACCCCATTGTCAACACTTTGAACACCGCCATCATCGGGAAACTCTTGCCCACATTGTCAGTGGTGCCCCCCAGTCCATCGTCATCACCCCTTTCCAACTCTCGCCTTCATCTGTTCAGTGTTTGATGGGGGACAGTGCAGAGGAAGCTTTACTCTGTATCTAACCCTGGGAGTGTCGGATGGGGGGGAACTGCGTAGAGGGAGCTTCAATCTGTATCTGACCCTGAGCTGCCCCTGTCCTGGGAGTGTTTGACAGCCGTTAGAGGTGGGGGGGGCGGGGGGGTGGGTGGTGGGGGGTGGGTGGAGGGTGGAGGGTGGAGGGTGGTCGGGGCAGTGTTTTCTCTGTTGAATTTGATACCGCACGTGCGTTTCCCTGAGCTGAACAAGTTTGCTCTGTCACTAGGGAACTATTATGGGATACCTGTGCCGCCCATTCTGCCCACGGATGCCACGCTAACCCTCGACCCGTCCATGCTGGGATGCCCGCCACGGAGTCCATCGTTCCCGAGTGTGACTGAGAAGCGGCCCAACAGGGAAGCAGCTCACGGCAGTCAGGGCCACAGCAGCGCCCCGGGTGAGGAGCAACGCTTGCTGTCCCATCTGATTCCTGAGCAAGGAATTGTGGCGCCGGATGAGGGTGCTGTTGGGATTGGTGGGTGGTTGCGGTTTGGAGCAAATCCTGACTGGACATGGGAACGTCCATGCTGTCCCTCAGCTGCTGTGGGTTTGAGTCGAAGGGAGGATGCAGTGAGTTTTTCATCATGGCACTTAGACCTCCTGCAGCTGGCAGTCATGTGGCACCGAGTGCCCAGCTTTGGGGGTGCTGCGATGGCGAGGGGGGTGGTGAACTCGAGGACCGAGTGCAGGATCTGGGGCAATCGAGCTGAGGAGAGGTGGGTGGGGGTTGCTGGAAGGGGTGTCCCATCAGCCTGACTCATGCCTGAACCCCTATGATTTGCTGACAGGAGCAGCTGCTAACATCAGCAACGGCCATGTGACTAGCTCAAACACCAATCAGAACATGGCGCCAGCGGGAGAGGTCGGGACTGAGCAGCAAGGGATCCCCAGGCAGCCCGAGGAATGGGTACAGGCCACTGCTGAGTATGTCCCGATATGTGCATCATTAACCTCGCGATAAGGCTCTGATACACCCCGCACCCCCTCGCTGTATAACACACTGATACACCC